GAAATTTCACTGGCGTAGACTCCTAAAAACGTCTGAAGGTCAATGAAAGTGAACAACTTGATACTTAGCAAGGGCTTGCCTGGAGTCAGAGCATGGCTGAATCATATGGCCTTCAGCCCGCCGCCTCGTTCCCCAAGCAAATCTGATTGATAACATCTCCCTTCTTTCCTACAAGGATATTTGGAGACAAAATTGAGTTATGCATAATGTGTTGAGCCTTTCAGAGTTGGAATTGCATGAGGCACTCTGCCTCTCAGGAGTGGCGTGATTTAGTTAGATGACATCTTGTGCTGGCGTCCACTATAATGTGAAGGCTTTACTGCAAGCCTCCTTTTAAAATAATAATAATAATAATAAATGATTTGGGCTTTCTGGTGATTTTGAAATGGCTTAAGAGATTGCAAATTAAAATGTCTTGGAGAACTAATTGCCCATCTCTGCCACCAGTGGTTCTTTTCGTGACCCTGGAGGAAGTTGCTTTCTTCTCTCTGCTCAATTTGAGCGGCCTCTTCCACAGTGTTGTCAAAATATATTTTACTGTTGTATGAAATAAAACCGTGGAAATCTAGAGCTCCAAGCATACTTAGCATGAACAGTGCCTGGCAATGGATTAGGGTTGCAGTATTTGAAGAATAAGTTAGTGACACTCATTTCTACCACTCCAGCCAGCTGTTCCACCCACCCCTGCTTCAGTCCCCCCAGAGGTGGAGAATGTCCTTCTGAAGGCCACTTATTTCATTGTCAGCTAAACTTAGTTACTACCAATGCCACTTTGACTTCTGTGAGGCTTCCTATAATTCTGCCAAACAGTTAGTTACTCCTGTTCTACGTTCCATTAGTCATATTTCTGTTGTGGTATTGATTAGAGTCTACCAGAATTCCTGTTCTATAATCTGTTACGTCTCCCCTTCTAGACCGTGAGCTCCATGAGGACAGGAGTGTATCTTGTCTTCTTGTGTTTCCAGCTCCCAGCAGGATACAGAATAGACAGAAGATTGGCAAAAGGGAGACAGAGAAAATGAGAGGAAAGAATAAGATAACAGAGAGGACTTGTATTGATTGCCTACTCAATCGTCTCTGAAGAGAGATGCTTTCACCCCAGAATTTGTATAGCAAAGAGAAGATTACCGAACTTAAGAAGAAAATTGTGAAACGATCTCCATTTTTTTGAATCTCAAGCATTTTAATTTCCATTCATTTTGTGGGTTTTATATTATACGTAGTATTTTAGCTTAGTTGAACATGAGTATAATTTATAAGTAGACACAGTTAGAAGGTACATGTGTTAGTCAGCTTTCCATTACTGTAACACATACCTGAGATAATCAGCTTATAAAGAAGAAAGGTTTGTTTCAGCTGACATCTTTGGAGATTTTAACCCAAACAAGGATTGGTCCTATTGCTTTGGGCCCGTGGTGAGACAATATGGTGGCAGCATGTGGCAAAGCCATTCATCTCATGGCTGGGAAGTGGAAGAGAGAAGAAGAGGAAGAGCCAAGGTGTCCCATCACCACCTTCAAGGACACACCCCAGTGACTTAGACCCTCACACTGGGCCCTACATTTTAAAGATTCCATCATCTCCCAATAATGCCATGGGTTGGGGACCAGGCCTTTCATACACAGGTCTTTGGGAAGCACTTAAGATTCAAACTATAGCATTTTCTGATAAAGCTTCAAATCACTAATTTGGATGACCCTAATATAGCTGTTTGCCAGTCCCTGTACTAAGCATCTGGTATATATTATTTGATTTATTCCACCAAAAATCCTGTGAAGGATACTATGGTCTTCCTTTTACAGATGAAGAATGAGGCACAGAGAGGTTAAGTCATTTCCTGATCACAGACAGCTGGGAAATGGTAGAACTAGGGTCCAGATTCACATCTGTCTGACGCAGCCACCGCCACATCCTCTTTTGTGAGTGTGTCCTGGGACATAGAGTTGTTTTTCCTACTCAGTGCCAGCTTGTCAATTAAATAAACCAATTAAATGGATGAGTCAATCAAACCAGTACATATTAAAGATTTCTTCTTACCAAAAAAAAAAAATTGTCAGAATTAAAATAAAATGCCATTTTCCATTGTGAAAGCACACATTGGCAACAGCAGGCCAAACAGCACCCCTCCGGGATGCAGTAGGTGCTCACTTCTGTTTCTTGACAGAAAAACTGAAGTGAAGGACCAGGGTCCCTGGTTCAGTCAAGCAGGTGGGACTCTGCTATCACTACATTTTAAATAGAGATACTGTTCACATACCATAGGATTCACCATTTTAAAGTAGGCAGTCCAGGAATTTCTAGTACATTCTCTGCCACCACCATGACCTATATTCAGAACATTCCATCACCCCTAAGAAGCCAGGTGCACCTCAGCGGCACTTCCCACTGCCCTGTTCCCCTGGGGCTCCACTCCTCCACTCCTGGTCTCTGTGCTTTTCATGTAAATAGGATCCCCTACTGTGCAGCCTCTTGCATTTGGCTTCTTGCACTTAGCACAGTGTTTTCAAGGTTCTTCCTGGTGGTAGGCTCTATCCATCCTTCACTCCTCTTTATGGCTGCGTTCCATTATATTGATGGACACTTGGTGGTTTTCCACTTCTATTGGGGGTAGTAGTGCCGTGGTTTCTATGTGAACACGTATCCTCCCTTCTTCTGCCAGGTGCCTCAGAGTGTGCTGCTGGGTGACTCAGTATTTAGCATTTTGAGAAACTTTTTACCAAAGCAGCTACACCACCCCCAGTGCCCACCCAGCAAGGTGTGAGGGTTCCAGCTTCTCCGCATGCTTGTCCACACTTATTATCTTTTTTTAAAATTTATTTTTAAATTTGGGTGTTTTGGTTTGGGTTTTCCATACTAGGGATTGAACTCGAGGGTATTCAACTCCTGAGCCCCATCCCAAGCCAATTTTTTATTTTTTTTATTTTGAGACAGGGTCTCGCTAAGTTGCTTAGGGTCTTGCCAAGTTGCTGAGGCTGGACTTGAACTTGTGATCCTCCTGTCTCAGCCTCCTGAGCCACTGGGATTACAGGAGAGCCCAGTCTATAGATACTCATAACCATCCTGAGGATGTGGAAGGTGCTTCATTGTGGTTGTGAGTTTGTATTTCTCTAATGATAATGATGTTGAGCGTTTTCCTATGTGTGTAATTGTCCCCTCAAATGCTTCTTTTGAATTTAAAATAGCTATTTCCTTCTTTTTTATCATTATTTCATTGAAATATGAATTTTCACTGTAATAAAATGTGTGGTATTTGCTTCCTCCCCACAGAACCCTCTCAAAGCATATTAAATACTCATGAATCCTCCTAAACATCGCCTGAGCTCTCACGTGCCACACTGCTGGAGCCAAAACCAGCTGAGTTTCCATCGGCAATTTTCCAGAAAAAAAAATCTCCACATTATTAGATAACAAGCTTTTAAAAACCTCAAATTATGATGATGGTAATGCTTTATTTAAAAGCATTTATGCCATAGGAACTCCAAAATTTGTTTTTTAAATTATAATTTCTTAACTTTTTTACATCCCTTTGAGGCAAAAAAGAAGCAGGAGAAGATAGTAGCTATCTCAAAAGGGTCCTCCAAGAAAGTAAATGTAGAGACTGGAATGTCTGAAACTTCTAGTATGTCTTGGGAAAAGATCTGTTGGAGTACAAGCACTATTTTCAATTTTTTTGGTACTGGGGATTGGACCCAGGGACTCTTAACCACTGAGCCACATCCCCAGCCCTTATTTCTTTGTTTATTTATAATTTTGAGACAGGGTCTTGCTAAGTTGCTGAGGCTGACTTTGAACTTCCAATTCTCCTGCCTCAGTCTCCCCAGCTGCTGGGATCACAGGTGTGCACCACCGTGCCCAGCTCAAAATTACTTTTAAGTTGTATACTAGTCCTGGATATAAAGCACACTGCTCATCTATGATGCTGATGTTTTATCATGTTAAAATTAATGTATAATGAGGTATACTTCATACCATAGAATTCACCAGTCCAAGAGTTTCTAGTACATTCTCTGCCCATCATCACCATGACCTATTTTCAGAACATTTTCATCACCCCTAAAAGAACCCATGTGCCCATCAGCGGTACTTCCCACTGCCCTGGTCTGGACCAGAGAAAGGAAATAAAAAGGCCTGAAGTTTTCATAGACCAATTTCTTCCTGTACATTGAGATACTACCCGTCTGGGCCTCTAAGGATCCGAAGTGGTGCTCTTTCCATGGACAGCACCGTCTGCACCAGCGCTGGTGTCCACTGCAGCTCTGAGGCCTCTCCAGCTTTCAGAGCATACATCTTCCTGTCTTGCATTCAGATTTTATCCAGTGGCCTCTAACAAGAGCAGTCATTCTCAATTTTACTGTAATTTGAATGTATTTCGTTTTAATGGTCAACAGTGTTGAAATTCATTCATTCCCTTCTGAACTGGGCTTTCTTACAGAACATGATTTTTTTTTCTTGAAAAAAAAAAAAACAGCTTTGAAATATTGTTTATTTGGTGAATCCACAATACAGGTGGAGCGCCTCCTGGGCAGCAGACCTGCGAAATACCCAGGGAGGCATCCTTACAGCTTTGGTGCCTACTCCTTCCTGCCGAGCTCCCAGTCAGTCCCCCCTGGGGACACTGGCAGGATCAGACTCCTGGGGAGCCCACACCGCAGAGCCAGCCCCATCTGCCACTGCCAGGAAGGGTTCCCCGGGGAAGAGACACAAGGTCTAGGACCTGAAGGATGCCTTGCGGCGTCCAGTCGTGGGGCAGAGAGCTGGCACTTACACAGGAACTAAGGCAGGCACGGTTCTGATGGCTTTGAGGACCTCAGTGAAGGACAGTGTGACAGGCACACTAGAAGCAGAAGGACAGTAGGCGGCAGGTGGAGAAGGAACCTCATTAAACAGAGGTAGACCTCTGGCCTCTGCTGGGGGGCTTCTGCCAGGGCCACGTTGGAAGCCCATGGAGATAGGAGGGGCCCGGTGACCTTTGCACCATCACTTTCCTCTTTCCCCGTCAGGAGTACAACTGGAGAAACTACCAACCCAGCCAGATGAGTGAGTCGGAGCTGCAGATGCTGGCCAGCCTACGACGGCAGCAGAATGAGGAGCTGGAGGACACCGAGGACCAGCACGGCCTGAGTGCCTCCCAGGTTGACAACTGTAACGTCAGCATAAGTACCAGCAGCGATGACACTACCACCTGGAACTCCTGCCTGCCACCGGTGAGTCTTACCCCTGCCTTGAAAGGGGGGGAAGCTTCCTTCTAACAAAGCCCAGGCTTGGGGAGTGAGGGACTAGAACCAAAATGAGAACTCTCCCCAGAGAAATATTCAGAGCCCGTCCTGAAATAGTGTTTTAGGGCTGGGAGCAGAAAGCAGTGGGTGCCACTGTCTTTTCTCAAATTGTCTCATTTACCCTCAGAAACTGTGTACATAGGAACCGATTGTCTTAGTAAGTTTTGTGCTGCTATAACAGAATACATGAGACCAGGCAATTTATAAACAACTGAGATCCATTTCTTACAATTCCAGAGCCTGTGGATGGAGTCCATGGTCAAGGGACTTCATCTGCCAGTGCCTTCTTTCTACTTCCTCCCGAGAGGGAAAGCAGAAGGCAAGAGAGCAGGAGGAAGAGGAAGGAGACAGAATTAGCCCTTTTATTAGGTACCCACTCTCATGGTAACTGACCCCTCCCACATAATGGGGATTCATCAAGGCTCGGCCTGATCACCTCAGGATCCCATCTCTCAATACTGTTGCACTGGCCACTAAGTCTCTAACACATGGCCTTTGGGGACATGTTCAAATCCTAGCCATGATGGATTAAACCACACACTGAGAAAAAAAAAAAAAAGAATAATTTTGCTGTAGACTCTGGGCATTCTGTTGTATTCCTGTTCCTAGCACAAGTCCTGTAGCATAGAAAGGCTCAGTGTTTGTTAAATATTTAAAAAATGAATGAGCAAAAGGGAAAATACTGCAGGTATACTAAGTGTGGCTCAGATCCCAGCACAGAAGAGAAGTACTGTGTTGGTCCTAGAGGTTGACTGGCTCCTCCCTATGACTGAGGGTCCTGGTAGCCCCTGGGTATCTCAAAGGTTTACCTCCCCATGAGTCTCCTGAAGTGTGGGCCTCCCCCTCACTGTGGCCCAGCATAGGAGTGGAAACAGGCCTTAATCTTCCCAGTTTTCAGGTAAACAAACTGAACCCTGCGCCCAGATTTCTATACCAGGTCAGTGGTGGATCCCATAGCAGAGCCTCAGACTTTAAATCAGTCCATTCTCTACAGTACTGTCCTCGGATCTTATGGCTTAGTAGGAAAAACAAAGTATAAACATCAATATAATAGTCCAGTGTGGCACAAGAGATGTCATAGGCAGAATAAAATCTGCCATTCTCAAAAGTATCTAGAGCTGTTTTAAGATCTCCATAAACTCAAAGGATATTTGCACACAAAGCCACATTCAGCCTAGCAGGAGAAGTAGCACACGCCTGTAATCCCAGCAACCTGGGAGGCTGAGGCAGGAGGATTGCAAGTTCAAGGCCAGCCTCAGCAACTTAGTGAGACCCTGTCTCAAAATTTAAAAAACACAAACATTGTTTTAAAGACTTGGGGTGTAGGTTAGTGGTAAAGCATTCCTGAGTTCTATCCCAGTTCCAAAAATAAAAAATAAAAAAGCCACTTTCAATATCAGAACATATTAAAATATACTTTCACTTATAAATATAACCTTTTTACTATAGTTTTTGAAAGGAAACATAAAATCCTATAACTTTGATTCATGTATATACATATTTAAACATTAAAGGATAGTTGACAGTAGATGTTATGTTTTAAGTATTTACCAAATAATTATTAGTTCTGCAAATATTTTTTGTATTATTTAAAGCCGGTTTTTTCTGGATCTCCAACATCTTTGTAGATTTCCAAAAACCTCAGGGACCCTGACACCTAATGCTCCCGAAATCAATGAAACTTTCTGTGAGCTGTGCTAGTGATTAAACCTAGGGCCTTAGGGTATTGCATGCCCAGCAAATGCTCTACCACTGAGCTACAGACTCAGCCTGTGTGTGTGTGTGTGTGTGTGTGTGTGTGTGTGTGTGTGTGTGTGAAAGAGAGAGAGAGAGAGAGAGAAAGAGAGACTCAGAGAGACTCTCACTAAGTTACTGAGGCTGGACCCAAACTTGCAGCCCTCCTGCCTGAGACTGCAAAGAGGCTGGGATCACAGCTGCTCACCACTGTGCATGGCTAACACTGAGGCTCTGGCAAGCTGATTCCAGCCTACTGACATACAGATCTCCTAACCACTATGACCCAGTGACTTCTTAATACATGAGTTAATTGTCAAATGAGTGCTGTGGAAATCTATTGGAAGGTGAGACTTCTGTGCTGTCGAGAGAATTTGCAAGTCTTTATGAAGGAGGAATTCAAATCAGCTCCAAGGGGATGTCAAGGGAAGAAAACATGATCGCAGGTTTTAATTGGTGGTTTTCATCGCCACCTTTCCCGCCCTCCAGAATTCTCCTGCCTCGACTGTGTTTTCATTAAACACAGATATCAAGCTCATATAAAGCCTCAAGCAACCTTGGTGCCAAGAGCATCCACCCACCCAGAAAAACACCCCTGTCCTGGTTCCTCTGATTACTGAATGTCCTTGTAGCCAGAGCTAAGATACTGGGAGTCGGCTGCAGACTTCTGCTGGTGAAATTTGTGATGGAATTGAAACATTGCCTTCCTTATAAAATATTCCTCAACAGCCATTTAAACCTCAAGTAAGAATGAGAACAGTGGCCTCGTGATGGGGCTCCTTCTGTCATGAGGCAGCTCGGAGACCAGCATCACAAAGGGCAAGCTGAGGAATGATTATTTATGGACTGAGAAGTCTGAACTCTTGGTTGCCCTGGATACGGTGTTCCCGTCACTGTCCTGTTCTGGCAGGGACTGAAGTCTCCTGCATGACAACTACTTCACTCTGAAAGTGTGCGGCCAAAAATAACACCGTTAGTAATGAACTTAATAACCCTCTATTTGATCAAATGAGAAATTGAAAACAGTCTGTTTTTCATACAGAGAAAATATTGAAAATCCTACCTCTGGTATTCATAAGATATGTTTATTATTGCATCCAATTCAGTCTATCCCAGTATTGGAACTATCAGCAAATGGGAAATTGCATTCCTTAATGAACTCCGCATCCTGCTGCTCATATGGAGTTTAAATAGAGCAATCTACAAGCATTGTTCTGGTCTTTCTGAGAGCTTGCAGCTTTGTCTTTAGAAACTGTGCAGAAACGATAGAAAAGAAAAACTGAAAGAGTGCATGACTTTATTTAATCACAGTGATGTCCTCCTCCTCTTCTAGCTCAGTGAATGGCTCGGCCACCTACCTTGGCACCTGAGCCAGAAATTTAGAAGGCATTTCCACTTCTCCCACTCTTTCATCCCACAGATCCACTGGTCTCCAAGACCTGGGACCCCTCCTTCTTTTCACGCCTAACCCTTGCTACCTAATACCTTGGCAAGTTATTTCTCACCTGAATTCCTTCAGCAGTCCCTCAGCATCTCTGTGCCTCCACTCTGAGCACCGAAGCCCAGTGGTTAGGAGCATTTGCTCTGAAGTCCAAGTGTGACAGTTCAGATCCAAGCTATGACCTTATAAAGCACTTGGCACTGTACCTGAAATGCAATAGGTATTAATAATCAGAGCTTAGTTATTGTTGTTATTATCATCATTATTCACATTAGCCCTCTTACCAAAGCCTAGACCTGATCCAGTCTCTCCCCTCTGTGAAGCCCCTGGGTGATTCCCCAATGACTCTAATTTAGCACAGGAGGAACCCATGATCTGAGACCTGCTCCCATCTCGGCCTCATCTCTTACTACACCCCACTTCCACTCCATGAGTTAGTCCCAGTTACAATTTCCTAAGTGCATTCCATGCATATCCCTGTACCTTGCTCTTGATTATCTCTCAAGACAGCTCAAAAGCCTTCTGCAGCCCTTCTTACCAGCACAGAGACAATTTCTCCTTTGCCCTTAGATCCAGGCACATCTGCATGGTAACTCTCAGTATAAGTTAACTTGTTTCACATTATTATTATTATTATTATTATTATTATTATTATTACTATTATTATTACTATTACTATTGGAGTAGTACAGTATGCTATGGACTAGGCTGAGTGTTGTGGATACACATAGAGCTTTACACAGTCTTGAGATGTTCACCATTGCAGAGCCACCACCCTAGCCTGTGTGCTTTTCAAATAAGAGTGCAACTTCAAAATTAATTGAATACCTGGCATATTAGTATATATGGAGGTATGGAGAATAAAATACACATGAAGCAAAGAGTAAGACGAGCATATGCAAAAATTCATACGTAGGACTGCCCCCCCCGACCCCCAAGGCACTGGTAGCCACGCCATATCTCACACAAAGATCTCAGATGTGAATTGTTAGCAACTTAAATTACAAATCACTGAATTTCAATCACTGAAAGTTTATTGTGATTAGCCTTTACTATTGAATGTATACTTTTCTTCTATCATAATAATCGTTTCATTATACCTATTTTATGTACTACTGAATATATCCAATTTCCCTTTAAAAATACTCACTGGTCTAATATCAAATAAAGTAATGCAGGCTGTTGAGAGATAACAGAATGAAGAGTTATGGGAACACATGAGATGAAGCAGTTAATTCTACTGTGGGTTTGAGGGACGTTTTCATAGACAGGGCAACAATTACACTGAAGTTCAAGAATGAGTATAAGTTCACCATGTAGAAAAGAGAGAGGAAGGAAGTTCAAGTTCTGAAAAGGAGCAGAATTAAGTATGTGGAGGTGCGCACAGGATAGGTCTTTCAGCAAGATTAATTTCCTCTTAGTACCTTTATTTCATTAGCTGTGTAAGACTGGAAATGGGTTTTGCTTGTTTCCCAATGCCTACTCACTCTGTATCTACCACAAAAGAGAACTACTCTCTCTTCTAGCTACAGTGTACTTCTTGCCTGTCACTAAGGGAGCCATCTTGCTTTCACTGGAAGAGCCATCTTGCCCATTACTAGGGGAGCCATCTTGCCTGTCACTAGAGGAGTCATCTTGTCCACAACTAGAAGAGCCATCTTGCCTGTGAACTAGGGGAGCCATCTTGCCCTGTTAGCTAGGGGAGCCATTTTGCCTGACTCTAGGGGAGCCATCTTGCTTGTCATTAAGGAAG